TGTGTGTGTGTGTGTGTGTGTGTGTGTGTGTGTGTGTGTGTGTATAAAGGGGGGTGGGGGGGGGGGGGGATGTTTCTTCGGGGGGCAAAGAGTGTCGAAGCTTGCAAATTGTCAAAGATGTATATGACAATGACTGAATGTGCACAGTAGTGACAAAATGTGAAACATATGCTACATTATCGTACTGCAGGATGAATGTCGACCACAATGCGCCGCACGACAACGGATCATCGATTGACACTTCATCACAAGGCAACATTTCAAATACACCGGCCTTGGATCTCATAATATTCGACAAAAATATATGGAAAAATGATATCGGTAGCACAGACTCTCGCTATTTGCACCTTGTCGAAAATGTCGTGTCGGACGGTAAAATCCCCATGTCTTTGGTCATGGGAGGCAACGGCATAGAGCTTCATCGTGACGACGGCAAAGAGTTCTGGTACTTGTACTCATTGGAGAAAGAAGTCGATGTAAAGCTCGACGACGAGGGCAGTACTGAAGATCCTGTTACACCAACGGAGATGATTGACGCGTGAAAAACATTGTGTGTAAAGCAACAATAGTCATAAAAGGACAGGAAACACGCCAAACAATGTGCGTGGTTTTGCATCGGAAAACCGCATCTGCAGTTCCCAATCTTTGTAGATTTTTATGGTCGAATCCGGGTGTTGAATCGTAACACCACCGTTATGACACTTTTCACAGCGGCCAAGGTGAACGATAAAAAAATCAACACATTGTTTCTTGCTAGAGAGGAGTTCCACAATGTCACACTTACGTCTCAGGCATTCAACAACCCTAAACTCGTCGGATCGCTTGAGCGCTTCAAAACTCGATCATCCCGTGATCATGCTGTAAGGAAAGAACTCAAAATGAGGATAGAATGCTTAGTGCACAGTCAGGTTCATTATCTGTTTGATTATTATGACAAGATATCATGGACTGTCGAACATCGGGATGACATGTTAGACGTTCTTTTCGATAGAAAAAAGTACACACGTGGGGGGAAAAAAACAGTGACATTTTCGACTGGTTGGAGCAGAGACGTGTACGACTGTCCTTACTGTGGCAACGAACACATTCATCTTTAGCATAGTTTGGAGAGAAAAGTTTTGTACCACGTGAACAATGAAGTATGAAAAGAGACCGGATTTTGCAAATTCATTAGCAGCAATGGCGTTGTGTATAAAATAAACATTCACCGCGTAGAAGGACGTATAATAGAAGAGCACACGGGGGAGGGGGGGGGGGGGGGGGGCAATTCCGCGATTGCGGTTGGAGCAACATACCCAGTGACTAAGTGTGGAAACCTCAACAAAAGAACATACATCAAACTCCATGTGTAATAAAGTATTGTCAGACTGCAATTGCACAAAAAATCTATATATCGACAGAATGCGAGAGAATTACAACACATATTAATCAGAAGCAATGCGTGTATACATAGATGCATGTGTTTGCGAATGAAGTTATGTGTGTGTGTGTGTGTGTGTGTGTGTGTGTGTGTGTGTATGTGTGTGTGTGTCTCTGTATCTTGAAGCGCGTGTGTGTGTGCGTGTTATGCGTGCGAGCAACAGACACAGTGTCACGACTACAATACAAAAATGTATGTTAAGACCAAAAAGGGATTGTACCATACTCGAAAACACACAAATTAACAGAAAAAATTTGCTTGGTAGAAAACGAAGTTACTCGTTAGAGGACGAATCAATGACAATTCCGTCATTGCAAGAAGTAAAACACATAAGTAACACACTAAACATGAATAGACAAGTGGAAACGAGCAAAAAAATTATGTTACATTGCACATGACAATCGAATAATGAATGTACAAAATACACAAGGTAGGAAAAAAAACAGAGAAATAACGAATAAAATGAGATAATGTCGCACACAAAATAGAGAAAAGTAAACTATGGCAAAAAAAACAAAGCATGAAGTGCTTCGTACACATGAAATGGATATGTGCATGGAAAACAAAAACCAAAAAAAACATCAAATAATAACAACAAGTACACGACACAAAAATGATGGAAACGAGCAAAGTTGCGAAAAAGTAACTAATTTCGAAGTTAAACTGATGACTTAGTCACTAAAAAAGAGCAAACTAAAAAAAATCAAACAAAACTAACATAAAATTTGCACATGTGCAGCATAGTACCATAGGATCATATATATCACATTAAAAAAAAAAAAAATCTTGTTTTGGACAAAAAATAAGGACTTCGATTTCGCGATTTTAGAAAAAAATGTCAGTTTTAACGAAATGTCAGTTGAATCGCTCGAAGAATCGTGACGCTAACTTGCCCTAGCGAGCACGTTCCCTTACCTGCACTATGTCCCCTAATTTATATCGAGGAAGAGGTAAAACATATCCATTCCGGGCCTCATAGCTTCAGACCTGTCGTTTGTGGGCCATCTTGGTCATCCGTTGTTTTTTTCAGGCTAACCGGGGGATGGTCTTTTCCATCAATTTTTAGTGGCGTTGAGCCTTGTCCTTGACCGTCGCCCTCGTGGCTCGTCGCGCAAGGGTCGTCTCGTCGTTCAGGCTCGGCAGAGCTACACAAGTCAAAATATTGGTTCGTAACTGAAAAGGGGTCAGGCTGGACTCATGGGGTGTCCCTCGGTGGATAGCAAGGATGTGGTCTACGATAAAAGGCCAAGGCCTCGTGTCCCTAGCCGCGATATTTGGCCGCAAAACTGTCTTAATCACCCGGTTCGCATTCTCTACCAGTCTGTTCGATTGCGACATATGGAGAACCGTATTGCGAATAGAGACGTCATGTACGACTAGGCTCCTTAAGACTTCTCCTCAGAATTTTGCCCCATTGTTCGTTAGGATTTCCTCGGTGTCTTGATGGATTCCAAGAAAGTGGTCGACATACCACACAATCTCCGTCGTCTGTCACGGTTTGCATGGGTAGGCCTCGATCTATTTCGAGAATGATCCACGAATACCAGAAGAACTGAATATTCGTAGCTATTCGGTCCAGGGGGCATAGTAATATCCGTTGTATCCATGCTAACCTTTTGGAACGACCATTCGACTACAGTGGGCACTATCGACCTTGGCGGCTGAACTGGCGCCTTGTCTGCTGTTCAGACCGGACAATTTTTATTAATTTTTAATGATGAATTTAACATTGTCTCGAATATTGGACCAATATCATTCGTTTTTGTCAATTGCTGACTACGTGATCCTGACAGCAAAGTGGGCGGTGGTTTCCTCGTGTGCTGACTTAACCCAGTCGTACCTCATGAATGGATGAGGCACCAACATCTAAATCCCACTACCGTTAATCTTTCGTTTCTCTAACCGTCCGCCGTTCCATCGGTAATCCCGTGCCCTCTTGTTGGCCCACCTCCAATCTTCCTTGGTGAATTCGCGGAGGGAGTTCACAACCACGGTAGCTCTCAGAACGTTGTCTGTTCATACCTCGGCACGTCGAAACCTGCGTGTCTTTTCCAACCCTTCGGACGTGGCTTCAAGGAATCGAGCCTTCGTCGGGATTTTGTCAGTTCGACACAAAGGACATAACCAGGCTTTATCCAAGTTTTTGTAGTGGACACAGTAGCCGTGGGCACGAGAGACACATCGTTGACAATCTACCCACTCAACATACCCTTCCCCACTAGGACACACAGGAACCGAATAGACTCACGATATTGCTTCGCAAAAATAACAAAGTTTGTCAGGCAAGGAGAGAAAATAAGAAGATGAGAGGGGAGAAAGGGGGCCTCTAGAATCACCTTCTTCACCCATCGCCATCATGTCCTTGTGTCAATTCCTGGAGGTTCGGGGGAGAATGGCCACCTCTTCGTACGATGGTCCCTTCGTCGGCTCCGGCTCCTTCCACGGGATGATCTCTTCACCTTTGGCCACCTTGCTTGGCCAATGCATTCGTGTTAATCCGTCGACGTTCCCGTGCTTCTCTATCTTCCGATGGATAATATCGAAGTCATATTCCTGTAGTCGGACACCCCATCGTCCAATCATGCCTGTATAGTTAGTGAGTCTCTTGAGAGCCAACAGCGGCTCATGATCCGTGACGAGGAGAAACTTTTGTCCGTACAGATATGGATGAAAGTGTTGAATTCCCTAAACGACTGTGTAGCATTGTCCCTGAGGGGCCGAATCGTTCGTTCACTCATCGGGTACAGTTCGCGAGGCGTACTCGATGACGTGTTCGTGGCCGTCCTTCCCCTTCTAAGAACCTAGCGGCAAACTTTCGCTCCATTTCCTCCGCAACATCCATGATTTGCTACATGGTGTGATTGATTGGGGAGAACTGCTTTCGCAATTTCGCCCTTATTGCACGACTACAAAGCCCATCGATAAACAAATCCCTCCCGACCTCCGCACCCCGCTCTGACTTAACAAACAACCTGTAAAACCAACTGCGATATTCAGTGACGGATTCAAGGGGCTTCTGAACTCGATCTTTAATCATGAAGAAGGCCTCTTCAGGGTGGATATAGTCAAATCGATTTAAGAAGTCTCTCTCGAAGGTCGGGATATCTACCCAAGCGTAAGTGTTGAACCTGTGGTGCACATCCCCTCCCAACCGGGTGGGGATGTTGATCCTGGCTTCGTCATTGTCGTATTGCTGCACATCCAACATGGCTAGCCATGCTCTGGCCAGATGATGGCCGGGATCGAAAAGGTACAGATCAGGCGGGGTCGCAGGTGCGCTAGCTCGAGGGGTCGGAGCCCCGCCAGCATTTGGCGCTGGGTTGGCGTTCATATTGGTCGCCTACCGTCCGGTCGATCTACTCCTAGTTACTATAGGGTCGCGTCGTGGCACGTTCCTCTGCCTAGAACGCCCTCTGTTCGCCAGATCATTCTTTGTAGCCTACGTGATTAACAATCCCTGGGCCTGCCACGTGTCGGTTCCGATACCAACCTCACGCCTAACGCGACTTCCTGATTGGAGTTGGAGTGGGCCAGAAAGTGTGAAAACGGGGTGTGCCAAGGATTTTAGGAAAGTGGGGGTGAAGTCCCAGGTCAGATTGAGATCTCCGATGACAAGTTTCAGGGATATGAATGCAAGAGGGTAGGCGCAGATCGGACTCCTGTTTTATGCTTCGGAAAGCAGAGCTACTGCCTCCGTTGGTTCTGTCGTCTGGGTCGGCCTCGTACCTGGTGCACCACTGGGACGCTATGGCTATCCCGCTGGCTGGTCACCTGCCGATGTCGAACGTCGCACGTCTCGGAATCCGACACGGCCGGCCTCAGTCGAAGGTCGTGCGCCCGCCGTTCTTCCTGTGAGCGAGTTCGCTGGATGAAGCCGGAGGCTCGATAATCGTGGTCATGTAGGCACTCCAAGTTTGGGGGTTGGGGCCAGTAGGGAGCGATTGCGCGCCAGGGGACGATGGTTAGACAGTGAAAGGGTAGGATACAGTGATAGGGAGGGAATTCGGTCCCCACGATAATGATCCCGGGTTCCTCGACGACGTGACACGTGTGGGGAGATGGGGGATACGTCCCAATGCCTGACCAACGTCCCACTCGCAAATGCGTTCGTTCCCCGTTAAACCACCAGTACTTGGGCACTGCGCACCGCGCCGGCCGCACCTTTTTTGAAGCGGCGCAGGCTGTCGATACGATTTATCGACGGCCCGCTG